TTTTTGAGACAAAGTCTCACTGTCACCAGGCTGGAGTATAGTGGCGTGATCTCGACTCATTGCAACCTCCACCTCCTGGGTTCAAACGATTCCCCTGCCTCAGCCTCCTGAGTAACCAGGACTACAGGCCTGTGCCACCACACCTGGCTAATTTTCTGTGTTTTAGTAGAGACAGGGTTTCACCATATTGGCCAGGATGGTCTCGATCTCCTGGCCTCGTGATCCGCCTGCCTCAGCCTCCCAAAGTCCTGCGGTTACAGGCGTGAGCCACTGCGCCCAGCCCTGATTCTCATCAATCTTAGCATGTACAACTAGGGGTGAGATAAGGACTCCATACACTAACTTTAATGTGCCCTTTCTCCGGCCCCCTCATTTTCTTGGTTCTCTACTCACTCTTTGGTTCCTGGGGTTCCCCACTCCTGGGTTTCTGACCAGAGCATTAGCTTCCCTGTGCTGTTGATAGGGTTCTCTGCCAAATCTGCCACTGCCACACTTGCCTGTCCTAGGGTAAGAGGCAACAGGCTTTGCCTCTGAGGGGCCATCTCATTGCTGGTGAGGAGAGAGAGGACACAGATTAGTTGCTTGTACTTCCTTGGTGTACAGCAGGGAGAGTCTATAGGGCTTTCACCCACATATTGACCATCAGTTGGCTGGTGGGAAGGGAAAGGTGTGCTGGTTCTTTGCTAGCAATCCCCTGGAGTAGGATAAAATAAAAGATTCCTTATAAAAGATAATTGAGTCAGAAAGACTCAGGACCTTGGAATCCCAGGCCTGTGGATCCAGGGAGGGGCAGTGAGATAGACTGACGTTAGATCAGTATACTACTGAATTCTGCTATGCTCTGGCATGGAGTTATCCTTGGTGAAATTAAATCAGTATAACTCTGTATGAGGGAGTGAGATTAATGAAACCTCTGATGTTACTGCAATTTAGCATTTAAATGTTGCTTACTCTTTAAATCAACCAAGTTCCTCTAGAGACCTCCAAGAACAAAAACTATTTTGCTCTGGAACTCAAAGCAGAAGAATATAGGTGAGACATCATTCCCAAGTATCCTTCTTCCTCCCTACAACCCTCTCACCCCTGACCCACAAAGCTTCATTAAATTAAGAGCTATTGCTGTTTCTCACAAAAGGTTGATGCCATCCTCTTTAAGTGATAACTTCTGAATTATAATCTTAGACCATTAAAATTCAAAGAAATACTTCAGGCTTGCCTTTGTGGAGCTGGAGTTGGTATCTCTGGATTAGTGGTGTGGTGCTGGTTTTTACTGACTTTTTCCTAAAGAGATCACTTTTCTGAAGCATCTTTTCCTTTTGGGATGTCAGAAGAAGAGAGTTAGTAAGTAGATTTCTTCCAAAGAGGAAGAAAAGAACTCTTAAGGGATTGGTGATTTGGAAAATATCTGTCAGCTAGCTTTCTTGCCCTCTGAGCCAGCTGAGTGGCAAGTGGGACATTTGTTTCCTGCTCTTATTTAAAAAAAAAAGTCTTCCTCTACTGCTTACAGCATATATATACAGAGATCTATACAAAAATGAATGTTTTTATATGTATAAATGAAAATGTTTGCTTTTTTGCTGTTGATGTTTTTGATTTTTTTTCATTTATTTGTTTTCCTTTGATTTTGGCTTCTCCCAAAGGTTTCTACTTGACCTCCCTTCTGATCACAGGGGCATCAATAAACATGGTTGGTTGATTTTGTTCTTGTCTTTCATGATTATACCATTATGTACAGTCAAGTCTATTTTTATCTGGATCAGCTGACTTTAAGGGTCTGACTTCACTCATTTTTTTCCTTATTCTCAAAGCAAACAGTTTTGCCTCTTTTTTATCTGGTGTTTGCCCCATCCTGTGGCCACTGGTCTCTGCAACCAGGAAGGGTAGCTAGACCAAGAGACTATACAAATGGGAGAAATCCTGCTCAATGTGGTCCTGCCTTTCCATCTGGCAATCCTTCCTGAGTGCACTGTCCCTGTGCTGATGCAGTAGTCCCCTGCCGTGTAAATCCTCAGGGTCACATTACTGTGCCCTGATTTTAAAGATGGGAAAAGGTACAGTGAGTACCTTTAGATACTCTTGAATCTGAGCAGCTCTGAACTGCGATTATGGACATAAACTAGCCCCTGCTCTATGGTGGAGTTACATAATAGGGAGAGGGTCAACCCTAGAGAAAAGGAAACCTAACACAGTACTTAAGAACTTAGGCCTTAGGATTAAGTAGACTTAGGTTTGATTCCAAACTTTACCACTTGCTATTGTGTCACCACTTACAGCTCTGTCATTATCATTAGTTGTCCTTCACAACGTCCCTTACCTACCTTTTCGGTCCCTTCTCCTGCTACTTCCTTCTCATTGTCTACCACCCTCTCCCTGCCCCTCAACACACACCTATGTTTTAACCAGATGGAACTATATGGAAGCTTCTTAGAAGGTAAAACCTCTAGCCCTATCTTCAGACCTATGAATTGGAATCTGTACTTTATGAGTATCCCAGGGTACTAAATATGCACATTGAAGTTTAAGAAGCACTGGTCTGACTGGGCACAGTGGTTCATGCCTATAATCCCAGCACTTTGTGAGGCTGAAGTGGGTGGATTGCTTGAGACCAAGAGTTCGAGACCAGCCTGGCCAACATGGCAAAACCTCGTCTCTACCCAAAAATAAATAAATAAATAAATACGGGCCGGATGCAGTGGCTCACACCTGTAATCCCAGCACTTTGGGAGGCCAAGGCGGGTGGATCACTTGAGGTCAGGAGTGATCCTGATTGAGATTGCACTACTGTACGCCAGCCTGGGCGACAGAGTGAGACTCTGTCTCAAAAAAAAAAAAAAAGAAAAAAAAAAAAAAAGCACTGGTCTAAGCTACTTCCTGGAGTTTTGATTTTTAAAAGAAACTGTCACTGTCTAGCCTGTGACTGCTGAATGTATGTGATTGCCCTCTGGAAAAGTATGATATGCTTGGCAATTTGAAGTATTCTTAGAATAATTCTTTGAATTATTCCCAACTAAACTGTATCCAAAATAGGTCCTTGAGAAGCTAATCCTTACTTGGCCCCCTTCATTTCCAACCCTTTGAAATTCACTCTGGTCCTTTCTCCTATCTTCTGGAAGTTTCTTTCTGAATCTAGAAAAACTCTCCTCACCAGAGAGGAATGATGTAAGCAGGCTTAATTAAATGCCTGCTATGTATAATGAAGCATATTGTTAGGTGCAGCATGGGGCATAGAAGTTCAAAGCCTATAGCTCTTGGGGATATTTTTATTTAGTTGGAAAGACAAGACAGAAACATTCAAAGTAAAGTAAATTTATTCCTTATATTTAGGTAGCCCTTGCTTATCTACCTCTTCTGAAACTTTGCAATAATTCTGTGATGTTGGTAGAAAGGGAATGTGATGTTAGGTAAGAAGTCAGATGGTCGGCACATCCATCCCACAGCCACACTGCTATTAAGGGATTTGTTAATGTCATATGGCTCCTAAAGAGCTAGGATATGCATCCATATCTTCCAGCTCCAAGTCCAAGTTTTTTTTCTTTTTAAAAAATATTGTGTCACATTATACCCTCTAATGCCAAGTTAATTTAAAATAAAAAGCCATATAAGATTGCAGAAGGAATTTTTGTGGTTGTGGTAGTTAAGAGGGAAGAAGTCATTTGAAAGAGTTTGGGGAGTCTTCAGTGAAGAAGGATAAGGTAGCAGTACCTTGAAAGATGAGCAGGACTTATCTGGGCAGACAAAGAGGATGAGCAATCCAAGAGAGGGGATGAGAGGGAGAAAAACACAGTATGTTCAAAGAATAAGGATTAGACCAGTGTCCTCAGGCGATGTGAAATCTAGATTGTTTCAGTCCAATTGAATGCGTCATCTAAATTTCCCAGGTGTGGGAATCAGTGTTTAGGTTAGAGGGACCACACAGTTGGTTCCTTCTTTTACTTCATGCTCTTGCACAGAATCCACTGTGTAGAATTAGGGAGACATAACTTCAGATACCTGACTGGTGGAATTAAAGGTGGTAGTTTCTAGGCTGGGTTGTGTTTCATGGACTACCCTGTGTGCTTTCTACAGGCAGTGTGTTGCTTGTTTTGGATAGTTGGGAGCAGCTTCTCTCACCTTAAGGAACTGTGAGTAGATGGTGTGAGGGACCATATACACACACAAAATAGCCAACTAAAGAAAGCGGTGGAGCTTTTTGTCCGACATCTTAGCAAGCCTGTGGTGTCCGCTGCTGCTCTCCGAGCTTCGCAATGCCGCCCAAGGACGACAAGAAGAAGGACGCCGGAAAGTCGGCCAAGAAAGACAAAGACCCAGTGAACAAATCCGGGGGCAAGGCCAAAAAGAAGAAGTGGTCCAAAGGCAAAGTTCGGGACAAGCTCAATAACTTAGTCTTGTTTGACAAAGCTACCTACGACAAACTCTGTAAGGAAGTTCCCAACTATAAACTTACAACCCCAGCTGTGGTCTCTGAGAGACTGAAGATTCGAGGCTCCCTGGCCAGGGCAGCCCTTCAGGAGCTCCTTAGTAAAGGACTTATCAAACTGGTTTCAAAGCACAGAGCTCAAGTAATTTACACCGGAAATACCAAAGGTGGACATGCTCCAGCTGCTGGTGAAGATGCATGAATAGGTCCAACCAACTGTACATTTGGAAAAATAAAACTTCATTAAATAAATAAATAAATAAAAAGAAAGCGGTGGAGATCAAGATAAGTAAGTCTGATTTGGGAACAAAACCCTGGAGACTGTATAGGTGATTGTTGGGGGTGGACAGGCGCTGAAGACTTGGATTGGTTTAGACCTAGAAGGAAGTGGCATTTGATTGGTTATTATAAGTGAAAAGGGCCCCTCCCTGGGTGAGATCTGCCAGCCTCATAATTAGGACCTGAAAATCTCTGCCAGGCCCGCCTTTGTGACGTGGCCCCGTCCACCTCAGCTATGGAACAGGCCTTGACTGGTGAGGCCCAAAGCCAGTGGCCCCGCAGAGGCGGGAGTGGGGCCATGGCTGAGGCGCCTGGGCCCAGTGGCGAATCTCGAGGCCACTCAGTCACTCAGCCGCCAGCGGGAAAAACTGTCGGGGGACCATCGAGGCGCTGCCCGCGGTCCGTGCTCAAAGTGTCCCAGTTGGTGCTCCGGGCCATCACCGCTCACAAAGGGCTGACTCTGGCAGCTCTCAGGAAGGAGCTCGGAAACGCCGGCTACGAAATGCGCAGGAAGAGCGGCCGCCACGAAGCGCCCAGAGGGCAGGCCAAGGCCACGCTCCTCCGGGTCAGCGGCAGCGACGCCGCCGGCTGCTTCAGGGTCTGGAAGGTTTCCAAGCCCAGGAGAAAGCCGGGGCGCGCGAGGCAACAGGAGGGCGCGCGCGCTAGCCGGAGGACCGCAGCCGCGTACCGGAGCTCACGGAGGCGCCGCCAGCCCCTTCGCAAGGCGGCCAGGAAGGCCAGAGAAGTGTGGAGACTGAACGCGAGGGCGAAAGCCAAGGCCAATGCCAGGGCGAGGAGGACAAGGAGGGCGAGGCCGAGAGCCAAGGAGCCGCCGTGTGCCAGAGCCAAGGTGGAAGCGGGAGCGACAGCGGCAGGCGAGAGGCGAGGACGGGCCGTGAAGGAACACACCAGGCCGAGGTCAGGGAAGGACAAGAGGCGAAGCTCCAAACCCAGGGAAGAGAAGCAGGAGCCTAAGAAGCCCGCACAGCGGACCATCCAGAAGCCAACGCCGGCTAAAACCGACCGGACATCTAGCGGGCAGGGGAAGACTCCACTAAAGACTTCCACAAAGACCTTCCCTAAATCTGAAGGTCTTCGGAATGCAGTCGGGAGTGCATCTTGTGGGAGCAGCTTCACTCCCACCACGGACAAATGCCTTTCCCCCATAGGCCCCAAGAAGAGCGGCTCTCACACTCATTGAAATGAAATGGACCTCTCGACCACCTTGTGTCTGTTTCCTCTTTGCCGCACCTGGAAGGGAAGGGGTGGGTGGTGGTAACGTGCAGCGAAGAGAGTAAATTAACAGATTCTGTTCCTGCTGCAAAACTCAGAGAAATATCTTTTAGAAGGACAGAAAACAGAGGAAAACCAGCAGCTTAACAAGTGTTGAAGTTGTTAGATACTCTAGCAAATTCAAATTGAGTTCTGGGGAGGAGGGCATATTGGGAAAAGTGTGGACAGTCTTTAAGTTGAGTGGCCCCACTGATTCGTAGTGTTCTTACCTGAAATTCCTTTTAGGACAAAGTCCTCCCAAAATTGATTATAATGAGTTTGTAGTTTTTGCCTTGAATTGATAACCTAGTTTAATTTAGAAAATATTCTTAGGTTAATCCTCAGTTAAATAAGTGTGTGAAAGCATACAGCATAGGGCCTGGCATAGGGTAGGTACTCATCACTGAGAGTTAAATATGTGTATAATTAATTTCCGACGGGGTGGTAATGTGCTACAGCAGAAAACTACTGGACCAGTATGTACTAAGACCAGGATTCTAGTCAAAGTTCTGCTAGTCTGACCCTTGCTGAGTCATTTCTTAACCATTCGTGGTCTTGGTTTCCTTCTCGGTAAAATGTTGGGATTGAGCTAAGATGATGTCTAAGTGATTTAAATGTCATTAAAATGAAAAGGGGACTTAAACATCATGGCATAATGGTTTGCTTGACAAAATTCAGCAATAAGGAAATTATCTTCTGAGAAAGTGCCAACTCCTAAAGAGGAAATTATGAAGATTTACAGAATGCATAGCAGAAATACAAGGAGATGGAGAAGGCTAGATAATGAATAGGTCTTCTGCTTTTCTTAACAATAACAGCATGTATTGAGCACTGTGTAACAAGTATGAAATAAATGTATGATTTTAGTTCTGAATGCAGGGATTAAGAACAGTGCAAGAGTAGTTCTCATGCCATAGGCTGACAGGACACAGAAATGATTCCTAGGGAAGTAAAACGTCAAAGTAGCTGATTCAAGGAAAGGAGTAGCTGTTTTCAGCCGAAGTCAAAGGAATGGGGACATGGAAGTGGCTGGGAAGTGCTTTTTATTCTTAAAGAGGTAAGAGTGGCAGTGGGAAAGTATTAGAACCTCCTGGGAGCTTTCTCCAGGTATACCTGACCAAGCTTTTCCTTAGGAGAGTATGATATGTCCTACAATGGGCAACAGGGTATGTGTATTTAAAACAGACAAAACAAACAAACAAACAAAAAAAACTACCCTTAAGTGATGCTAATATTTACCCTTTCACACCCTTGAGAATCACTGCTTTAAGCCTATGCAAAGCCTAGTAACTGCAGAATTCTTGTAGCGTTATTTCATCTATAGATGATCGGAACTTGATATTTCCCCATGTTGTAATTAAGTTTATTATGCACATGAATGTGAGTGGAAGAAGGCCTCTGAAAAGAGGCAATGAGAAAATCAAACATTGTCTACTGAACACAATTAGAATAAAGTTAATCAAGTGCCCTGATGATAGCCAGATGTATTACGCCCTTTCTAGTCTTAGGATGTTTTTACCTAAAGAACCAGTGAGAGAGGAGGCAATTAGAGGCTGGCTAGGTAGATAGAGAGGGAGGGTCTTGGGAGAGAGACGGCGCCCATGGGACTGCACCTGTATTGTCCCTACGGTGTAACTAGCAGATGGAAATGTGGTTAAGAATTTCCTCTTATACCAGGATGTCTGCTCAGAAGGGACTGTCCCAACTTAGGCACAGGCACAATAAATCAACTAAATGTCCTGAACACGACCCAGAGTTAATTGTAATATCATTAGCACTGTGGTTTGGGCACCTCCCCACCACCATGGGTTTCACTAAGGCGCTTGGGTAATAACCAAGATGGAGTCACTATGGTGCAACACCCCTGGGGGAACTTTACCCCTCCCACTATGACAGAAACCACAGAAGACTTCTTTTTGCCACATAAAAAACCCATAACTCAGCCCCATTTCTGGCAACCCACTTTTGAGTCCCCTCTTGCTGCTAAGAGCTTTTCTGTTGCTTAGTAAATGCTACTCTGCCTTACTCACTCTCTGGTGTCCACTTGCCTTCTTCTTGGTCGTGGGACAAGAACTCAGACCTCACTAAACTGAATAAGAAGGCTGCAATACTAGGTGGTCTAGTATTAGTCTTTTTCTTCTAAGTATCTAATAATACTGGGAAAAATTTGTTTTCTAGATTTCCTAAAAACCATCACACTTATATTTGTTTTATGATGGTTTCTTCATTTCAAACTTCCATTCATTCACCAAAATGTATCCAATTTATTAAGTGCCCACCATATGCAGGAACAGTAGCAGACATGAGAGACCCAGATCTTGACCTTATATAGCTAACAATGGTCATCTCAGATTATTTTTCATTGATAAGCTTTAGGGTGGCTGTACTCCAATGAAATATAAGAAATGACCATATCTCGTTAGCAAGCTACCCAGATTATCAAGATCATAATGTTGGCTGGGTACTCAGCCAGAGGCATTCCCAAGAACAGCTAATCTCACCTCTAGTATTCATTAATGACTAAGTGCCTGCAAGATTCTAGGCCCTGTGCTGAGAATACTAAAATGGATAAAACATAATCTCCACTTTTCTGAGCTCACATTTGAGTGGCACATTTGGGTATTTAACTTTAGTCAGAGCAAATTGAATGACCCTGACCCAATTCTTTGCTTTTCTTTTACCTCAACTGCTTAGTGTAATGCTGATCACATCATTGTTGGACTTGAGTTGTAACGAATGTTAGATGTCCTCTAGAACAAATATTCAATGGTTGTTTGAAAAACACTTAACAGAAACAAAAATGTCCTTTTAAAAACATGAAAAGGTCCAATTTAGAAATGCATATTTAAACTATACTACACATTAATACCAAAAAAAAAAAAGTATTTTTAATCAGATGGGCAAAAATCCAAATGTTTGAGAGCCTACTCTACTGGTAAGGCTGTGGGGAAACAGGCACTCATCTACAGTGTTGGTGGGAGTTTATATCATCCCTGTGCCTGCCAGATTTCTAGCTAGTGGACAGTCATAGTGGCTGTGTTTCTCTTTTCCCTTTTCTCAATTCCCTTACCTCCTTCCCTTTTTGGTGATGGAAAAGACCAGACTCCAAGTGGCCGAGGGGAAGTAAGAGTGAACACAAGAAAATAAGGAAACTTATGAGGCCCAGGGCAACAAAACAATCTGGCTGGGGTAAGGAAAGCTGCAAGGCATCTGAGGATCATTCATCCCCTAAGCAATAGGCTTGAGGCTTTTTAAGGCAACTCCTGTAGAGGAAGAGCCACGCCTTTGAGTTGCACTCACCACAGGCCCTTCCTGTCCAAGAGGGGAGGCTTTGTCACTGAGTTAATGGACAGTGGCTTCTGACCCTACCTCCACACCTGCTTTCCATGTTTTCTCCCACAACCATTTCCTACCCTACCCTATCCTCTCAATCCCAGGAATATCCAATTACTGCGAACATGCCTAAGGGGTCAAGTCGCACTCACTACCGCCACCACTTGGTGGCTCCAGACTTGAGCTCAGCACTCTTAGATCTTCAAGAGTAAGGTCAGCCCTTGCAGGGCCTTGAAACTGAGGGCCTCCTTAAACTCACGTGCTGGGCGATCTCCCTAGTCCTGGCCCTGCTCAGTAGTCTGCTGCTGAAGTGCTCCCTGGGAGTAGACCACCAGCCCAATCCTCCAGCCTCTCCAGGTTGGATCGAGTGTCTGGCTGACTCAGGAGCATATGGGGGCCAGGATGCCAGAGGGAGGTGGCGAGGCCCAACCTGTTGTGTCTGGAGGCTTATGTTTCAGGCAGTGAGATGAGATGGTTCTCAGAAGATTCTGCGGCTTATCTTCCCCCGTTCTGTGGTAGTCTTTTTGTCAGGAGCAAAGAGCAGGAATGGAGGGAAAAGTGAAGGAGAAGACCTAGAGAAGAAATAAGTGACACAGCCAACACTTTTATTAAACTGACAGGGACCATAAGTCCCCTGTTGGGTAACCCAAGGAAGTTCACAGTTCATCAGAAGGAACCAATTCAGATAATAGCTAGAAATCTGATAGGCACGGAGCAGTTGGGCTGCATGGCAAGTAGGCATTCATCCCCAAAGTTTCCTGGAAGAGGATGCCCAGGTGCCTGGTGGCAAGAGACAAGGCAGGAAAGTGGGGGAGGGTTTGACTGAAGAACACACTGAGAGCAGGAGCAAGGGCCACATTTGATTTCCCCGGCCTGAAATTCCAGTGCCTGGCACATAATAAGGACACAAAAAATTGCTTGTAGAATTAAGAGTTTGATTCTCAGGAGTCACAGGAGACTGGAAGGAAGTAAATTAAAAGTGGTGAAAAGTGGAAAACAACTTTGGAAGTTATCTGAAAGGAAGAAGAACGTCTAGGAAATGGAGGGATCAGATTTGGCAGTACTAGGCAGGGGGTGGAGTGGTGGTGGTGTCCGGGGGGGGTGTGTATGAGAAAGGGGCAGAGTGGTGAGGAGGCTGATGAATTGCTATAGCCAAACCAAGAATTTGGAGGATGAGAGTGGGAAGTATGAATTGACCCCTGCTTAGTAGGCTTAAAGCTGATAGAAAAGAAACTGAACAGTAGGCAGAGGAATAGGTGGTAAGTGGGCTCATGATGGAATAGAATTGGCCAGAAATTTGAAGAGAGAAACTAGAATGGAAGAAGGATGGGGATTGGAGAGAACAAATGCCCTTGGAAAGGCATGTTATTGCTCAGTCAGAACAAGGCAAAACTCAAACAAACAAAAAATCTGAAAAAGAGTAGGAACAAAGAGTAGAGGAAGAATACTGCCTGTTGGGAAAATGGAGGTGGTGGCAGGAAAGCAGGGAGAGAGCATAAGGCCTGGAGTTGAAGAAAGTCTTAGCCTAGGGGTCTAATCTTTTGACCATGGAGAAGCCCTGTGGGCAGAATTGTAACTGTCAGTTCAGTCTATCCTCATAGGTGCACCTGGGAGAGGAACTGGAGGAGGTAGCAGGGTCAGAGACTGCAAGGCAGGTTCCTCCCCACAGCCTGAATCTGTCAGAATCTTCTAAGCAACAGAATGCATTTTGGGTACCATGGCTTCATTGGTTACAACCTCTACCTAGTAAGCAGAGTCTGGATTTAAATCTTGCTTGTGTCAAATCTTACTAGAAAAACCTAGTTCCCTCTTGTGCCCTGGTTACTCTGATGTTCCTGCTGCCCTTGCCCATAGGGTATGCCAAATCATGGTTAGAAATCCCTTCCATGGCCCCTCGTTGGTCTTTAATCCAATTTTTATGTTGGAAAACATGGGTCCTTAAGGGCTTGGCATAGCAGGCCTTACTCTACCTTTGTGCTAGGTGCCCACTCCACCTGCCTTTTATTAGAAGAGCCAGTGAAAAGGACAAAGCAAAGGGGAAACATTTCCTTGGATGTCAGTTTTTCAGTTTTACGTGGGATTTTCTATCTTTGAGTTGTTTGTTCCTTTCTGTCCTTTCAGATTTCTGGACCCAATCCTCAGTGCCCATATTGGAAGCCCCAGCCCTAATGAATCATAGGGGCTTGGTAGTTGCCCCACCACAGTTTCTGATATTGGTGACTAGCCCCAGTTCTTTTACTGAGTTAAGAGTGGAAGAAGACCTTGCAACTAAGGGGAATGGAACTGAGGTCTAGCCTAGTGAGGCTGCAGAGAATAAACCTGACAACAGCAGTGTGAAGATCCATTTGAAAACAGTGAGGTACCACTGCCTGAAATATGAACCCCCTAGCCAGTGGTTCTCAAACTTTAGCTTATATCACACATCCTGGAGGGCATGTTAAAAGACTGAATGTTGAGCTCCTTCCCGAGTTTCTGATTCAGTAGTTCTCCTGGGGCAGGGGCTAAGAATTTGCATTTCAAACAAGTTTCCAGGTGATATTTATGCTGCTGGCCCAAAGACCAAATTTTGAGAGTCATAGTTTGGTATGGTACACAAGGGAACAGAGGGAAATTTTGCTAGCTGAGGCTCTCTAAGGCTCTAAATAAATGGATTTCACTTTTGTGTTATTGCCCAGCCCCACCCACTCCCATTCAGTGCATTCATCCTAATACAGATGGAAAGAACTGGCCTTCTGGCGCCTCTAGGTCTGAGTCAGGACCTGCCCTTTATGGAACTAGGAAACAGTAGTTTGATTGCAGGAATGTTGGAAAGGGAGGAATTTTGTCCCAAATTATCACCTCTTTAGTTCTCTAAAGCCATAACATTACTTTGACAAAGGAAAAGTTTTTCCTTCTACAGTGAGAACTACGGCTTAAAGTGTAAATAGCCTTGTGAAAAGCTAACACTTTGGGATACATTATCCCGTGCAAGGAATTCTTTGAAAGATGCTATGTTGGGGTGGAAAGGGGAGGATACTCAGAATAGGGTGGAGGCATCACAGATGGAAAAATGTGACAAGTTCCTGAAGATGGATGTCCCTGTTTTACATTTTGCCCAAAGAGAACATAGAGACTCTTTTTAAAGGGGACAGCATAAAACATGAACATTTGAGGCTTATTCCCTGTGGGAAAAATCATCCAAATCTATTCACTCATCTGATAGCTGTTGCTTGTTTTATTTTTCGTCCAAGGGAGGTGGTGTTGGACCGAGGTAGAGAAGACAGCGGTACACCAGAAATAACCCAAAGGATTGCCCCTTCTGTAGAAGGTCGTTAGACTTCATGATGCCTTTCAGCTGGGTGCTATACTTGCACCTAACTCTGGGGGCTTCACTTTCTATCCCTACAATTACTCAAACAGATAAAAGGCTGGACGTTAACATGTAGTTATTAAGAGGCGTGATCTAATAGTAAGGAATACCACTTCCCACAAGTCCTTCAAACAAGATTTATGAGGAGCTGGATTTGTCAGCATGTCAGATCTTTTTGAAACCCAGAGAGTAGAATGTAATCAATACCCTTGTCATAATTAAAGACCAGACTATATCCTTATACACTGATGCCTCTGGTACCTTAATCCTTAAAATATTTAGTGACCCTTGCCTCTTGACACAAATATATAATGACCATTTTAGATCAGGGTAACTCCCTTTCTTTGAAGGCAGTTTAGGGATTCCACAGATAGGCTTTGAACCTGCTAAATGTGTATGGAAAACTGAGTGAATTACAAATGTCTTTTTCTCAAAAGTGCGTTTCTGGTTTCTGTCAGATTCAACAGGTCTGTACCCAAGACATGTTCTGAACCATTGCTTATGCAGAGCTTTTAGTCTTAAAGAGGGAGAGTAAAAGAAGTGGCAGAGTCCAGATTTATCAGAACCCAATGCTTTCTTACTCCCTGGGGCATTTCCTAATACTGATCCTAAAATGCTCCTGATTCTGAGAACCTAGGGCAAGACCTGCCTTACAAAGGCCGGCCATTTTGCCTTATTCATAGGATCATAAACAAGAGAAGTGCATTCCAGGAAGAAGGAAGGCTGCTCAGAGTAGCAGGGGGCAGGGGCCAAGCTGCTCAAGTCACATAAACTCTAAGAAGCCCAGTCAGCAAAATAAGTCTATCTTCAATTCTAACTGAGTCTAGGACTCTGAGGAGCTGTGATTCACCCAGTTTTTCCTGCAAAAGGCACAGTCACTAAACTAAATTGTTGCAACTCACTTCCTCTTGCCTCTCTGGTTCACTCCACCAATTGTGGTTGCGAAACACATCTTAGGGAAGAAACAATATCTAAGCATTAAAAAGAAAATATCCCACTTTGCTCCTCTTCCTCCCTAACACCAAACTGCTCTTGCATACAAGACGATTTTTAAGTTATAAGATTGATATTAACACAATCATTGATAAAGAGAAAAAATCACCAACTAACGATGCTAGAATACTTATGCAAGTCCTAGAGTTAAGGGTCTCAGTGTGGACATCTTTCCAGAAATGGAAGGAAAACCAACCAGAAAGCTCATTACCCTGCATCAGCTGAAAAGCTAAGCCACAGCCATTTCCCCTAAAGTTCTGTTTCTGGGAGAATGAGATCTTCAAGAATAACTCTTGCCCCTTGATGAGGCAAAGTCAAACAAGAGTGATGGCAACAACTTGCAAACATGGTAATTCCTGCTCTAATTTTCCAGCACTTAAAACAAAATCCCCAGTCAATACAAAGTTTCTGTGCCTCTTGCCTGAAATCAACAAGAAACAGCTCACCTCCCCAGACTTTTCTCTGCCCAGTTAAAAGCAACCTGCAGCCCAGAGATTCAGACCTAGGACACACACATTCACAACTGTCTTGATCTCAGCAGTAACTGGGAAAGCTTTGTACTCAACTCCCACAACTTAACCTGTCATTTAACCCTTTCCACTAGTGCTCCCTAATCAGACTGCTTCCTGTCTTGAAACAGAAACCCATATAATCCCCACTACCCTCATCCCCAGAACACAGCCCCTAGAAAACCTAGCTTGTACAGTTTGCACATAGCATGCTCTCTTCGAAGACCCTGCACACAAATACACAAGACACAAAAAGACAGTCAAGAGGAGAGAGGGGTCTGCTCAAGAGGATAATTTTTTTTTTTTTTTTTTTCTGTGTGGACCTGGGTTATTTGGGGGTATTAGGTCATCTCTTAGCCTTGTAGTGTGATTTCTCAGCTGGATATATGTATGTGCAGGATGAAGGGAGTAGGAATAAGGGGTAAAAAGGTTATTATGTTTTTCAGCAGGTGAGGGTGAGAGGTGTAGATGTATATACCGCTGACTGGAGTAAGGCAGACAGACCCACACAGAAACAAGGCCTGGCCCCGCTGGCTTTCATATGGATAAAAGGAGGGGCTCTGGACGCCTGATCACTAAGTCTCATTTCCTCATTACTCTCTAACCCAGTGTTCACCAGAGTGTTTCATAGTCACCAGTTCTGTGGGATGCAAATAGAAAGGATACTGAGGTCAAATACATTTAGGAAACACTGCATTAATAGAATCTTCAGTTTGGTCTACTGCAGAAATTTTCAGAGCCTTTACTATGCTAAAATGGCCTTTCTCTATATATAGAGAGAAAATAGTAACAGTATGCAAAAGTGATACTCAAAATATTTAACAATTGGTATAGCATAGACTCCAACAAATCAGAATGGATTTCAGCCATAAACTGCCAGTACCACTCTCCTCTCGAGAATGGCTCAGGCTGAATATCAGCCCACGTAGGATGCATTGCTTCCCAAAAGTTTTGCCCAAAGAACTCTATTTTTATGTGCTATCTCACAGAACTGGTGAGAAATGCTCTGGCCACTGCTGGGACCTCATCTTTCTAGGGATGGCGTTAGGGCTCATGATTCTGGCCCCTGGGGTTCAGAAGAACGGCAGCCCTGGCAGTGACTCCTAGTAGCACCAGCTGAAAGACTTGACCATAGCTGTAGTGGAAACAGATTTCAAAAGACAGATGTTCCTTTGTCCCAGCTGTTCCGGGGACTTTGTCCCTGGTGGGTCAGCAGATGCCTGTCCAGGTGATGTTTTCGGCCAAAGCTCTTCTCACAGCGAGGGCACTGGAAGGGCTTCTCCCCAGTGTGGGTCAGCCAGTGTCTCACAAGGTGGTGCCTTCGGCCAAAGCTCTTCCCACATTCAGTGCACACGTGACACTTTGGCACAGGTGGGGCACGCTGCCGTTTCCTTGTGCCAGGGCTCTCTCCAACCTCTTGGCCCTTGCAGGATTTGCCTTCTGCATGCACTCTCTGGTGGCTGGCCAGATGGGAGTTGCATCGGAAATTCTTACCACACTCAGAGCACCTGCTGGGCTTGTCATGTAGGTGGGTTTTCTGGTGCCTGATGAGGTGATGTCTTCGCCCAAAGCTCTTCTCACACTTGAGGCAGCTGTAGGGCCTCTCCCCAGTGTGTGTTTGTTGATGCCTGGCAAGGTGGGAGCCCCACACAAACTGTTTCCCACATTGGGGGCATGTGTGGGGTCTTAACAGGGAATCCATCTCTGTGCTACACAGCAGGTTTGAGAAGCTGTCTTCCTGAAGAAAAGGGGGCCCCAGGAGCATTCCTCTGGAGCTCCTGTGCATGGAATCCCAGCTCTCATCATGCTCTGGGTTCCAGAGAACAGTATCTTCAGAAACGCTGGATAACATTCTGGGAGGTTCTGCTTCTAGTTCAGGGGTATCCCCCTCATGCTCACTTCCATCTCCTGTGGAGAAGGGGAAATACCAACCCCAAGAGAAGAGTCACAACATTTCCTAAGTCACAAATGAGGTTGTCTGATACCTGCCAGCGCCCAGACTTGACCCCAGAAGGGCTGAGAGAACATAGTCTAATGTCGTACAAGATAGTGCAACAGATATAGAGGTTAAAAGCCTAGGCTTAGGAGGCAGATTACCCAAGATGGAATCTCAGCTTTCCCACTTAACGTCTCTAAACCTTCATTTCTTCTGTAAAATGGGAAGAAATACCTCTCTCTCAGGTGGTTATAAGATAGATAGCACAGGACCTGCACATAGTTTAAGTACTTAGTAAATGGTATATGCTATTGTTATTATTACCATTATTTATTTACTACTATATATTACTATTAATCAGCATCTTTCTATCTAAGCATAGATGGAGAGGGTTACAGAATGTGCTGCAATTGTCACTGGCTGAATGACAACTGTCAGCAATCCTCAAGGCATTCCTGAAATGGGTGGGAGGTTGACAACAATATCAACAACTAACATTTATTGAGTGCCTATTACGTGCTTGGCACTGTTCTGTTCTAATATTCTAATATATTCGTATATTTAATTTTCACAATAATTCACAGATGAAGAAACCAAAGGGAGTTTTATTACTTTTCAAAGGTCCCACAAGTACAGTCCAGAATTCCAATCCACAAAGTGCCTACTACACCATGCTGCTACGCTCCCTTGCTTTTGAAGAAAAAGATCTCTAAACCTTTCGTCTCTGGAACTCTCTGAGGCAGAGTAGGGATGAGACGAACATGGAATGATGATGCCCTGAACTGTGAAGGAAATGGCTGAAAGCCTATTCTAGGTTCTTACCTGTATATGTGACCCTCAGAATGTCCCTCTCCTCTAAGTCCTGGGGGTCAGGGACCCATTGTTCTTCTCCTCCTTCTAGTTGAGAAAGCATGTCCAGTTTGGGAATTGGAAATCCTGCTCGTGGGGAAGGAAAACAGAGCTGTCAATTAGTTCAACAGCAATTCTATATTTCTGAAACCATCAAACAAAAAACTGTTTCCTATTGTTTGGAACTCTAGACAAAAGAAGGTCAAGAAAGAAACATCTCCCCACCCCAACCTCTTCCCCCACCCATCTCTGTTAAGTCCCTCTTTGCCTAGAAAATCACTCTCCTTCCCAATGAACCTGTTTTCTTCCACTCAGATTTTCCAGCCCAACTGGCCTTTCTGGGCATAACTTCACTTTAGTCCTCCTACAACAGTCCTACCCCCTGCATCCCTGTCTTCCTCTATATGGTTCCCAAGTTTACAAGGACCCGGTTCCAGTTCTCTCTGCTTTGTGAGAACCTCCTAATTCCCAACCAAGAAAAACCTCAAGTTCTGTACTCCACAATTCAGCATCAATTGCTTTTTTATTTATTTATTTTTAATGATGCTTTACTCTCTCATTCTCTTGGGATTGGCCCTAGTGTTCTTTCTCTGGCAGAAGCATAGACAGATTCCCTGCCACAGAAGGGGTTCTAGACAGACACTATCCAATAGCCCTGAAGCAGATGGCTCTGTCCTCCTAGAGTATAATCTTCTAGTGGCTGGAGAAGGTCATGCTTACTCAGAGAGACTACTATCCCACAGTTTTCTTGCATGACATATTCTCCATAAAAGTCTGTCTGAGAGGGGTCCAGGCTCCGCCACTCCTCCTGAGAGAAGCACAGTGACACATCCTTGATGGTTACCAGGCCCTGAAACAAAATGTAGCATCTTCTGTCAGCAGCTGTTTTTCAAGGAAAATGTGATTCAGTATGAAAGGCTAATTTAGTAGAGCAGAGAGGGTGAGAAATGATCTGAGAAAAGAGCTGCCCAGAAGTCCCTGGGTAGGGCACACAGTTTTGGTAAAGGGGAAATGAGGAGAGGAGTGAAGGTAGATGGTCAAGGAGTGAGTGAGTGTAATGTTACTGGAGGAATTTCCCAAGTGGGGCCATGAGAAGCTGGAGGCACCACAAACTCATCACCCCCTCTGTTGACAGGTGTCTACTCAGTCACTTCTCCCTGGCCTTACTCTTTTGAAGAAGAAATTGTGTACCATTTCCTCCTCCTTCCACTGGACCTTGCCTTTTCTATCAGCACAAAATGCTACAGATAAAACATTCTTTCTTGCCTCCCTTGCCACAGCATTAAAGATATGAGTTGGCTCACATGATCATCAATGGTATGTTCATCTTATAACTGAATAGAATCTATCCCTTTCCAAGGGGTCATAAGACCCTTGGAAAATTAAATGGAGCCACAAGAAAGGGAATTCTTGAGGTTAGGGTTTTTTGGGGTTTTGTTTGCTTTGTTTTTTTATTTATTTATTTATTTATTTAGAGACGGAGTCTCACTCTGTCACCCAGGCTGGAGTGCAGTAGCGCAATCTCGGCTTACTGCAACCTCCACCTCCCAAGTTCAAGCGATTCTCCTGCCTCAGCCTCCTGAGTAGCTGGAATTACAGGCACCCACCACTACACCCAGCTATTTTTTTGTATTGTTAGTAGAGACGGGATTTCACCATGTTGCCAGGCTGGTCTCGAACTCCTCACCTCGTGATTTGCCCACCTCGGCCTCCCAAGGTGCTGGGATTACAGGCGTGAGCTACCATGCCTGGCCATATCTTTATATTTTTAGGCAGCACAGTATGGTGGTTAGGAGCTCAGAATCTGAAGCCAAGTGATTCAGCTTTGCCACTTTCTCACAGCATGACCCTACACAAGTGCCTTAATCTCTCCCTGCCCCATTTTCTCATCTGTAAAATTGGATAACTTGAGCTGTTCTCAGAATTACATGAGTTAATATACATAAAGCACCCAGAAAATGGCATACGTGATAAGCACTCTGGGGGTGTACTCCTATTAGTACTAACACTATTATTATTAGCTTTCCACAGCTCTCCTATTGCCTTCTGAATCTAAACCTATTTTCCTCCCAGGTTCTGCCCCTCTTTATATCCTTCTTCCTCTTCTTTTCTGTAAATGTTCCATCATCCACCCAATCCTTCCACTTTAGGTTCTTCTAAGCTTTCTTCAGGTCCTCTTTTCCTAATCTTTCCAGATTTATTTCCTAAGGGAAGGTAATTATTCTTAAAATCCTCCTGTGGATAACAAACACAGCCATCCATTAAAAACCCTAACCTTGACTAGGCACGGTGGCTCATACCTGTGATCCCAGCACTTTGGGAGGCTGAGGTGGGCAGATCACCTGAGGTCAGCAGTTCAAGACCAGCCTGGCCAACGTGGCAAAACCCTGTCTCTACTAAAAACACAAAAATTAGCCAGGTGTGGTGGCATGTGCCAGTAGTCCAGCTGCTTGGGAGGCTGAAGCAGGAGAATTGCTTGAACCCAGGAGGTGGAGGTTGCAGTGAGCCAAGATCGTACCACTGCACTCCAGCCTGGGTGACACAGTGAGATTCTGTCTCAAAAACAAAAAACAAAGCAAACAAAACCCCAAAAAACCCTAACCTCAAGAATTCCCTTTCTTGTGGCTCCATTTAATTTTCCAAGGGTCTTATGATCCCTTGGAAAGGGATAGATTCTATTCAGTTATAAGATGAACGTACCATTGATGATCATGTGAGCCAACTCATCAATGGGCTGCTGCGAAAGCAATACAAAGGCACCAGTGATGGGACCACAGGAGAGGCCAAGGGAAGCAGAGCTCACCTGTGATCCAGCTGCAAGAAGTGCAGCTGCCATCTCCCAGTCTCCAGTGTTCCCCTCCTGGGGAATTGCAGGAACCCAGGGAGCAGACTGAGCTGATGAGGAGAGAGAAGAAACATTAGAGAATAACTATCTACCCTTTCTCAATAGGGCCTGGGCCCCATTTTAGAGAGGCTTAAGGGCCACAGCTTCTGTATCTATGCCCGCTGGTAAAACTCAAATGCGTAAATGTAGATGAGAAGGCCATCACTCAAAATGTTCTGAAAGGGTATCAGATGGCTTTTAGTTAGACTAGCTATAGTTTGAATTTACAGTACTTGAATGTAATTTTCATCTAGTAAAGTGCAGCTTACTGAGTGAGTTATCCAACAGTAATCAGGTTGCTGTCATTTCCTTCATCTCCCTCATTCAGTATCACTAATTATGCATTTGTATGTGGAGGGAGTAATTATGAAGAAACAAGAGAAGCCCAGTTGTATGGTTTGCTGAATTCAGAAGCCTATTTTGTACCTCTGACCAGGTCTCAAAAAGAATGGGCTGGTCCTGGTAAAGTTTATGCTATTTAGTCCATGGCAATTTGGAGATTTTTAGCCCTACTTCTGGAACAAATATTAGGAGACTACGCACTGTGCTTCCCACACACTGTGGGCTCTCACCCTTCTCCTGAAGGGACTGTGGCTCCTCTTCAAGGTCGCAGCACAGGTGCTCCAGAGGCCCTGGTGCTGTTCTCCATGGCCCCTCTTCCTTGCTTCCCCTTTCCACCTGGGGCTCTGCTCCATCCAGCTGTACATTGATTGATTCCCATCCTGTCCCCAGAGCTGCTGTCTGTTCTGAAAGCATTTTTGCTGCAGACCCAAATTGTGACCTGGAACAAATTCATATCAGCAATGCCCATGAAAATGGGAAAAGAGTGATATTCCTAAGGGAGTTATGAAGAACAGGCCCAGGGATAATAGATGAAACTAGATAGGAGGAGCTTGCTGGAAGATGAACTTTAAAAGCTTGATGTGTTCCGATCAACTGAGCCTGCACCAAGCTTCCTGGAGGAACTAAGAAATTGGCAGGTGCTATGTAGCAAAGCCACTAACTGGTATTTTGTGGACCTCATGATGGAAACAGAATATACCTGAAGATTAGAAGAAGTTCATTTAAAAAAAAAGAACTGTCCCAGAAATTCAAAGGCTATCCATTTAATTTCAAGCACATGAAGTACAGGAAAGTAAGCAGTTTGGAAACATACAGGAAGAAATACACATAGACCTGCACTCAACAAGATGGATGTAATCACACAGAAGATTTTCTGCCACAAATCACAGTCTCATCAGTTTAGAATGAAATGATTACTGTAGGTAGAAGTCCCAACCAAGGGGCGTATTTGTATCATGAGCACACACCTCTTTCATGAGGCTGAGCCAAAAGGTACCTCACTTGGGACAAGCCTCAACAAAAAGGCAATGAGAACTGGTAGTAAATACGGTAGAAAAACTAATAACTTGGAAAGCAGGTGTAAGACTCCAAAGTAACCCTAACAAGTACGAGAAATTGTTGGTCAGTGAGGAGCTGAAGTTTAATCAGGAAAAGTAAAAAGGAACAGAAAGAGTTTGAACCAGAGCTGGAAAAGGGGGAAGAAGTACTGCTAACATGACCCAGATGAACAAACCTGTTTGTCAGGCACCAGTCAGATCTCGTTAGAAAAATATATTCAGTTTGAAAGAAGCATATGGAGAAGCCAGGGTGTGTCCATCAGAAGACAGGAAAGTCAAGAAAGGGATGGGAAATACAGCCACTGGGAAAGTTAAAAATGTCGGATGTAGTTTTTTCGGTCTGGAGAAGGCTGATGAATGATGTTACTAATGAATAAAAACAGAGGTCCCTTCTATCTCTACATAGGTCAAACAGAAAAAATGGGTCTTGATTGCAAGAGAAGAGATTTAGGTTATTACTATTTTTTAATTATTAATAATCCTGCAGTGTACAAAACCAGATAGTGGGCTCTTCTTTTTCTTTGGACATCTTAAGAGCATGATAGATCACACTTCTGTTGTGATAGGGCTTTATGGCAGAGAAATAATCTGAGATCTGAGAATCTCTTTCTGCTTGGCAACATATTTTGGGTATTCTTATTCAATAACCAAACACTCGAGTCCGTGAAAGACTTCCAAGAGCAGTCAGAAACTTGGTAACTATCCTGGCTTACTTACATCCTTTTAATAACATTTGCAAGAACCTTGAAGGCCAGGGTAGGTAATGACAGATGTCAAGTCATCTATTTTCTTGCCTATTTGTCTTTGACAAAAGAGGTAGGTGGGAACCCTAAGCCAATGCACAGGAAAAACAAATTCCCCTTTCATCTCAAAAGTCCAAAGATGGCTCAGGGCCTCATGGGAGCACCCTGGAGGTTTCCTTTTCAGAGACTTTTCATGAGAAAGGAAAATTTTTGCTAAAGCAATGAAGGGAAACTTCCATTTTAGCTCTCTTCTCTGAATTCCAGCTCTGTATCCACTTTTAACACACAGGGCACTAATTCCCCCTCTTCATCCCATCTTTCTGGTTCTCTAGCTCCTGTGCAAATCCTCCCTGAAGGCTTTACCTCTAACTACATATCTGGACACTTGTCTCAAACCCTTTCTCCATCTCCCCCAGGTAGCAGAGTCTCTTAATAGGAAGCCTCTTTCTGTAGAGCCCACTGGGCCAGCTGTTAGCCTTTCTATACCACTGATAGAAATCCGTGGAAGTGCTAGCAAAAATCTCAGCAAAGGATGGGATGGGTACCTGTCCTCAGCCTGCATTTCCTAAGATGTTCACGCAGAGCCAGCACCTGGGCAGTTAAGGTGGTAGCCCTAACCTCGTTTCTCCTGGTTCCAGGATGATCCCATGCCCACTGGAGTCTGCGTTCTAGGGCTTTCATTTCCCCCTTTTCTTCACACATACGGGTAGCAAGGGACCTGCAAAAGGAAGTTTTTGCAGCCAGTGCTGATGAACAGAAAAGGGGCCATGTTATAAAAATGAGTAGCCCAAGGGCACACGGACGAGTTGTGCTCCGTCCATCAGAGAACCCTGGCCCCTGCCACGGGTGGGGCATGGGCGGGACGGGAGCCTGCTCAGGGGTAAGGTTGCTTCTTCCCTCCTTCTTGTTGTCACAGTGCCCCTGGAAAGGGTCAGATTTCAGAGAATCCGAGCAAGGCAGAAGTGGAGCAGGGGAAGTGAGGTCAGAAAACAGGTTTCCCATTAGCTGGGGCATGAGCAAGTGAAGAGAAAGGGAGCCACGGGGTAACCTGTGCGCGAGTGACAGCGGCGGAAGCCCGCAGGGCCTGACAGCTGCGATGGGCACGGGGAGACAGGGCGAGGGGCGGGCACAGAATGTCAGCGGGGCAGACCCCCGGGAAAGGCAGCAACCCGGAAGCCGCGCCGATCCTCCTCCCCGCCCCCATGGGTGACCGAGCCCCCACCCGCCGCCCCGGGAAGCCAGGAGTCCCTCCCTCCAGCCGCAGCTCCTTCCAGCCCGGCTCCACTCACCCCCGGTCGGCTTGGCCCGCGGCCCGGTGCCTCCCTCCCGGGCGCCGCCTGCCCCTCCCCTCCGCCCTCCGCTTGCGTCTGGGAGCCGGCGGCCGGCGCAGCCAGAGACAGGCGGAGACGGCGGCCCGGCGGGCGCGGGCGGGGCGGGCACAGGAAATCCCCGCCCGCTTCCGGGGCTCGGCGGCGGCGGAGGCGCGGGGAGTGGGAGGGAGGGGCGTGGGAGGGAGACGCGTGGGAGCGGGGAGGGGCTGCGGCAGAGGCGCCCCCGAATTGGCCGAACCCGGGACCTCCGTGCCCCCTGCCTTGGGGAGGGTACGGCCCGAGGCGCTTGGAGGGCGGTGGGCACCGGGATCGCAGCCTGCCGTGGCCACTTGCCCGCACTCTTGCCAGACTGACCATTTTCCGCTGTGGCTACGGGGCCTCCCACGGAGTTGTGTCCTCAGGGGTTCATCAGTTACCTGGAATTGCATAACGGCCCGATACAGGCCAGACCGAGGCCGAGAGTGATTTCTCCAGACAAGAGTCTGGAATTCCTCAAGTAGCTTACTCTCTAGTTTTCACAATAGGATAAAGGGCTTGAGAGACACTGAAGAGGAGTCACTCATTCTGCCTAAGGGGAAGTCAGGTTGCTATTTAAAGTAGGCCTTGCGGCTGCTGTCCAATTTGCTGGAGCCGTAGCCGCAGGTGACACGTGAGCTCTCCAAATGTGGCTGGTCTGAACAGAGATGTGTTCGAAGATTTAGAAGATTTAATTTAAAAACTGATATTTTGGGTATATTGGGTTAAATATATTAAAATTCATTTCACTTGGTTTTAACTTTTTAAATGTGGCTACAAATAGTTTTAAAATTACAAATATGGCTTGCATTATATTTCTGTTGGATAGTGCTACCTTGGAGCATTAAGATGGATTTGACTGGAAAAGATGAGAAGGGCCTACAAACAGTGAGTAAACCCATTACGGTTAGAATCTGTTTATAACCTACAAGTCACATTCACTTTCCTTATTTCATTATTACAACAATTTTGAAAATTTTTATTTAGTAGACTTAAAAAATAAGTGACTCACTTAAGGTCATATGTGACAACCATTCCTTTAATACATATTTATTTTCTACATACGCCAGACACTGTAACTAAATGCGGGAAATTAAAGAAAGGATTCACAGTCTGGGGAACCACACGTCAACAAATATTTGCAATAAAACATAGTAGATGCTAAAACAGAGGAATGTACGCTGCACTTGGAGCAAAGAGAAGTGAGCATGTATGCGACGGAGGTCAGAGAAGGCCTCCCTCTGACAGAAATCGTGAGGCAGAGAAGAGTTGGGAGGGCTCTGTAGTGAAAAAGAGGAAAATGCAGTAGACACGCAGTTGGGAAGGGTATAGAGCATATTCTAGGAGCAGATCATGGGGGACGTAGGGGGAGTAGTAGAGCCAGAATTTTTATCCCGGGTCTGGAACTAAGTCCAGGGATTCTTTTCACTTATGCTACCACTGGTGATAAATATAAGATGTGTTAATTGGGGTAGGCTAGCAAAACCAGTATCTCGGACCTTGATTCCATAAAGGCTTATGTTCATACAAGTCACAGTGTGGTAACAAGTTGGTTGGGGCCAGAGGGTGGGGTCTGTACTTCTTGCATTCATTGAAGGACCAGGCTTCTTGCATTTGGTGGTTCTACCATGCCCTGAGGCCTTGGTAATGTAGCCAAATCTGTGGCCCTCAGATAAGGGAGGCTAGCTGTGGTTAACTTGTCAGAGATATTAGGGGCCAGTCCTGGAAGTGCTGTGTATCATTTTCACCCCAATGCCTTAGCGGGAATTTATGCGCATGGTTACATGGCCCCACCCAGCAGGGTGGCTGGGAATAAAGTATGTGTGCGTCCTAGAAAAGGAAATGGGGGCTGATGGACACAGCCTTGCCTCTGTCACGCAGAGTTAAATTGAACATAACCAAGTACCTAAACCTGACTTTACCTGAAAAGAATGTTTGGAAAGAACCGATAGATATTATAATAGCTCAAACTCTCCTCGACTGTTTTGGGAAACAAATCAGTGTGAGATTGTTTCCTTAAAAAAAAACAAAACAAAAAAAAGGCCAGGCGCAGTGGCTCACGCCT